GGGCTTTGGGAAGAGGGCAACATTTGTGGGGGGGGGGCAAGCCACATAAATGCGAAGTATTTTTTCCCGTCTTTTCAATAAATGCCTTATTGTTGTGGTGGGATTTCTAATCTATATTATGTATTGTTAGCATGTTATGTATAGTTGTGTCTTTTTGCTTTTGTTCTTTCATTATTTACATTTGTATTTCTTTTGTTTGAACTGTTGTCCATTTTAAGTATATCAAGGTGTTTTTCCAGCCACTCTGGGTCCCCATCAGGGAGAAATGCGGGGTAATAAATTGCCTAAACAAATAAATAATAGCTTGGTCCATTATTCAAGATTGGTTGATGCAGTACATAAAGGTGTAATCTTTTGCTTGTGTGGCAGCAGAGACGTGTTGACTTCTTTTTAAAAAGCAATGTATCTATGGGGACCTGGAAGCTGTCAGATGTTGAGTTTGCTGGGAGAGTCTTTTGCCTGTTGGGTTTAGCCCCACATCGTTTCTAGGGATCCTTAACATTGTATAGTATATATATTTTAAGAGAAGAGATATGGCATACTTAGAACTCTGGTGTGCTTGGCTAAGGCCTGCTTCCTCAGAAATGCCGCCTCCCCCATCAGACCATAAGTGGAAGTGGGTCATGCAGACCTTCTTATAAAATGTTATAAATGAGGAATAGGTTACTGAATTGCTGTGGCTGTCTCTTCAGCATGCTAATACTTCAATCTCTCATGCATTAACATGAAAGCTTATGATTCAATTAATCTCCTGCTCTTGAAGGTGCCACAAGACTCCTTTTAATTACAGTAACAACCAACTAACATGGGTATTCACTGGAGACTAACACGGGTACACACTGGAACTCATAAAAGTTGCATAAGCAGATGTTGGGATTGGCCCATGTTGTTTCATTTTTACTCTCTCATTCTCTTTGGCCAGCAGAAACCAGTGCAATAAAAGTTTTCTTTGGCTCTAGGAGCCAGCTAAAAAATGTAGAAGCCAGACTCATTTCTCAGCCATCCTAAACTGAGTGACACCCTTCTAATTCCATAGATATTAGAAACATTAAAACAGAGCTTTCTGCATGAAATGTTGAAGTTACTTTAGAGCTATGCATAATCTTGCTTCTTGACATTTTGTGGTCAGCTCCACTTCCTGGGGCAGTCATTTTGTATTTGGCTCCACGTCCTGTTGACAAGGAATCATGCTATCCACCTCCTGTGACAGTCAGCCACCCAGTGTAAGAATTCAAAAGGTGCCTGCAGATTGAAAAAGGCTGGGGACTCCCTTATTAGACATCAGGACCTACTCTCATTCTTATTGGATGATCTTAGGGCAGGGGGTGTGGCTTAAAGGGGCGCGCAACACACAGTGATAACTAGCGGCACTTTAAGTCTCTGAGTTTCACGCGACATGTCTCGGAGCATTTTGCCGCCCGCCCAGTCGGGCGAGATCGGAAACCACGTGTTCCGCTGGGACTCAGGAGCCTTTCTTGGCTGCCACTGCAGCCAGATGGGGAAGACAATAGCGCCGCCCGCCTGCCCGCGCCCCCCATCCCTGCCCTGCCTGGCCCAGCGATGCCAGCCCCAGCATCGGCAGAAGCGCCTGCAAGCACATGTGCTGCCCTCCCCCCAGCAGAGAGAATGGGGAGGGATGACACAAGAAGCCCCTGCCTCCACCTCAGGGGCTCCACCGGGGCACCCCCTCTCCCCCCTCCCTGCCTGCCTGCCTGGTTATTGTGTGTAATATTGGTATAACAATACTAAGATGTATTTATATCTATGCCTGCTAATATTTGTATCAGCTTTATATATTTCTAATAATAATTTTTTTAAAAAAATTTAAGCTGCTTGTACTTGGCAAGTAATAATAAATTTCATTTGCATTTTATCCAGAGGTATCTTTTGCAGTCCAAGGTTTTGGATAATACTGCCTCCTTGTCATCTGCTTTCAGGTGCAGAAGTAGTCTAGAACTGTAGCAGGACGATACTTGCTGTTACGAACAAATGTGGGGGCGGAGCTTTGAAGGCCCTGGCTTTTTTTCTCCACAGGATATGTCCCTAGTTTTTGTGAAAGGGCACAAAAAACCCTCGGGCCGGCCCTGTGTGTAAAGTGTCAGTCATTACAAGGAAGACATCCCTGAATGGAAGATGACCGCCTTAAAAATGTTATGCAAGCACACAAAAAATTATTAGACCCTAACTTGTAGGCAAATGTAAGTTGACTTCCCTTTTTTGTGATAGTATACCTGGGAAAAACTAGTCTGGCATTTGAATGTTAAATACTGCATGTTTCTAAATATGGTGATGGCATTTAAATATCTTTGGGAGAAGAAAATGTTCACACAGGACTCTTATTAATATATGGCAGCCTTCTGTACTGTATTGGAGGTGCTGATAATAGAATGGTTATTGTGTGTAATATTGGTATAACATTTTTTTAAAAAAATTTAAGCTGCTTGTACTTGGCAAGTAATAATAAATTTCATTTGCATTTTATCCAGAGGTATCTTTTGCAGTCCAAGGTTTTGGATAATACTGCCTCCTTGTCATCTGCTTTCAGGTGCAGAAGTAGTCTAGAACTGTAGCAGGACGATACTTGCTGTTACGAACAAATGTGGGGGCGGAGCTTTGAAGGCCCTGGCTTTTTTTCTCCACAGGATATGTCCCTAGTTTTTGTGAAATCCCTGTAGTAGGTATTTAGTCTCCCCCATGCAATGGATCAGAATGGAAACAGACAGAAAGTGCTGATAGCATGATTCCTTGTCAACATACAAGGGGTCCTCCATGGTTCAGAAAACTAGGAAATAGGAGTACCTGTAAAACTGCAGCTGTCTTGGTCAGAAACAGAAGGCCCATTTACACAGCTGTCACTCTGTTAGCTTTCTCCCCTTTACTGTTTAGTGGAAAGTCTGAACTAATAGTCAGGTTATTTCTTCCTGAAGATGTATTTAGACCAGTCACTTCTTGGGGACTTGACACATCCACTCTAGAACAGTTGTTTGCTATGTATTTATGTAACCAAAGGCTCATTTTCTTTCTTTTTTTCTAGAGGCATTTCTTCCGGAACCTGGGATCCATCCTAGCATATGCCTTTCTAGGAACAGCAATCTCCTGTTTTGTAATAGGGTGAGTATTTTTCATGCCCCAGCAGACTTTTAGACATCAGAGTGTGAGCAGGTGAGGATGACAAAGTATCACACAGTTGTGTGTGTGTGTGTGTGTGTGTGTGTGTGTCCTATGAGCAGTAGTTAATGTACAGATGACTCTAGGTCTGTTGAGAATGAACCACTAGGTACTTGTTAAGTTCCTCATCATTTTCAGACATCTTGCAGAAGTGATTCTATATTGGCCAAAGTATTGTATTTGTGTCATGCTCAAAACTTGGCTGTTATAAACAAAATGGCTCATTTTGGTCATGTGGCTGCTAAAGCTGTGGAAGGTTTTGGAAATCAGTCGCAGGATGATGTTAGGTGAACTATATGATTATAACACAATTTCCCTCTGCTTATTTTTGTATCATGTTCATAACAGGATGCAGTGATTGAAGTTAATTACACATTCTTTTCTGTAGCCAGAACAACTTATAAAGTACAGTACTTCTGTGTGTGTGTGGGGTAATTCATATATCAGGAACGCATAAGATTACAACCTCCCCATATCATAAATTGATTTAAAGATAGATGCTGGCACAGCTGCATGCACCTTTCCTTTAATCATGCAAATTCAGTTCTTAGTAAAACACATCTGCATAGTTTAGCTGAGCTGTAATCAGTATGGAATAAGAGTTCCTAAATTGCTTAGTAACAGGGAGAAGAAAAAACCCCATTATACAAAGAAACTTCATGGTGAATTTAAAAGTCTTAGGTTTCCAGAAAGCAGTTTCAGCATTATCAGTGTGAGTTAGTGATCAGATCAGTATCTAATTGGAAAAGGATCTGTCTCTGTGGATCTCCGAGGATCCAAGTGGTGGATGATGGATGCACAAAGGGCCAAATGTTCTTACATCTGTATTGAAGGCTGTAGCTGGCTGGTGGATTTCTGTTTACCAAAAACATTTAGGAAGTATTGGACGAACTTATCTGCAGATGTTTTCAGAAGGATTATACTTGATAGGATTATGATCGTCTTTAAATCTCTGTTTTCCTGCTGCAGGTATGCTGCAGACTGTGGCCGGGATCCAAAGAACCATGAAGCTGTTCTATATATTTAGGCCCAAAAAGAGCTTCTGGATTTGTGTTTTTTTGCTTGAGCAGCAGTTTCTCATGCTATACATCCGATTGCCTTTTGAAATTGAAGGGAATTTCAGAAGCCAGTTGTGATATGGCCTGGGAGTTCTCTTATTGAAAGAAGAAGAAAAGTCAGGAATACTGCCATGCACACACAAGCTCTTAGATCCTACTTCGTTCCTCTTTGCCATTCAGTACAAATGTGTGTGTGTGTGTGTGGGATCCTTAGAATCGGTGACTGCCTTCAGACATTGGTCATTGTCTTCTTTTAAATAGCATAAGAAAGTAGGGAGACCTCTATTGGATCAGACCAGTGGCCTATCTAATCCAGCATCCTGTTCTCTCAAGAGCAGTCCTCGAAAGAGCTCTCTCAGCTCACCTACCTCACAGGGTGACAGTTGTGGGGAGGGGAAGGGAAAGGGATTCTAAGCTGCTCTGAGACTCCTTCGTAGTGAAGGGTGGGATATAAATCCAATCTCTTCTCTTCCTCTTCTGTCTTACATAGTGGCCAACAAGTTACTCTGGAGGGCCAGCAACAGGTTGTAGAGGCCAAGGCTTTCCCCAGTGTTGTCTCCTGGCTCTAGTGTTCAGAGGTTTACTGCCTCTGAACGTGGAGATTTCATGTGAATCTATGAAGTTGCCTTATACCAAGTTAGGCCTTTGGTCCATCTTGTTCACTAATACTGAAATGGGGAGGAGAAGAAGGGGCTCCCATGAAATTGGAGGAGGAAGGGGTGGGTGGTCTCTGCCCTGTGAAGCATTCCACTGCATCTAGCCAGAATTCTAACTTTCTTTTCATTTGCTTTGTGTGTGTGTTTTTTCTCCCAATCAGTGACCGTGCTTGCCATATTCCATGAGCTTCAAGTTGACGTTGAGTTGTATGCCCTCCTGTTTGGTGAAAGTGTTCTCAATGATGCCGTTGCCATTGTCCTGTCTTCGTAAGTTGTGTGGTTTGTTAAAATTACTACCTTATTGTAATTGGCATGTTGACCCTGTGGGAAACCTGTATGCCAGGGACAGGTATGCCTGGGAACATTTAGCACTAGCAAGAAACCTACCCATACAACAGGGAGACTTCACCTGAGCAGATGTTTGAAGGTAGGCTGAGAGTAATCGCTATGTGGAACCCTGGGTTTAAGATGAAAAGCACAGCAAATTTTGCTTAATCCAGGTTGAGTCATCCCCTGTCTCTAAAGGCTTGACGTTCGAAAAGAATGGGCCAGCATACAGAAGGGAATTGGTGGTTTGGAAAGACAGCCAACAGCCTTTGCATTTATTTATTTATTTAGTTAGTTCATTAATCATCCCATTCTAGTTTGCACTGGGCAATGTACAGCAGAGGCACAAAGCCATAAAATGAATGTACAAGACATTAAAAATCCAAATATAACAAAAATAGCTAAAAAGAAGTCCCAGATGGTGTCCTTAGAAATTTTGTCTCAGTTCTGGACTGCCTGGCCACTTTCTGGGCAGGGGGAGAAGAAACACAAGATCAGAATCAAGGGGAGGGGGAAGGGGAGAGGGTGCCAGCCATGACAGAACACCTTTGCTGTCCTCAACAAAAGACTGTGTCTTTCCCGGCTTATGACTGCTATTGTTACCTGCACTGATCCTGAATGGCTGGACAGTTCAATACATTGGCATCAGTTTTTGGAAAACGATGAAAAGGGCATCTGCCTTCTAGCTACAATGATTTGGAGATGGGAGTAAGCAGTGAAGTGGCTAAATTTGCGGATGATACGAAGTTGTTCAGGGTGGTGAAAACCAGTGAGGATTGTGAGGGACTCCAAAGGGATCTGTCAAGGATGGGCAAGTGGGCGTCAACATGGCAAATGGGGTTCAGTGTGGCCAAGTGCAAGGTGATGCACATTGGAGCCAAAAATTCTAACTATAAATACACATTGATGGGGTCTGAACTGGCAGAGACTGATCAAGAGAGAGATCTTGGAGTTGTAGTAGATAACTCACTGAAAATGTCGAGACAGTGTGTGACTGCAATAAAGAAGGCCAATGCTATGCTGGGGATTATTAGGAAGGGTATTGAAAACAGATCAGCCAATATCATAATGCCCCTATATAAATCAATGGTGTGACCTCATTTGGAATACTGTGTGTAGTTCTGGTCACCACACCTGAAAAAGGATATTATAGCTTTGGAAAAAGTGCAGAAAAGGGCAACTCGAATGATAAAAGGGTTGGAACACTTTCCCTATGAGGAAAGGTTAAAGCGCTTAGGGCTCTTTAGCTTGGAGAAACGACGACTGAGGGGTGACATGATCGAGGTTTATAAGATTATGCATGGGAAAGAGCTGGTAGAGAAAGAGGTACTTTTCTCCCTTTCTCACAATACAAGAACTCGTGGGCACTCCCCATCAGTGGCTATTAGCCACGAGGTATAGATAGGGACTCTGGGGCAAGTGCTGCTCTGTCATCTTGGTGCTTGGGGGGGGGTAAACAGTGCGAGGGCTTCTAATGTCCTGGCCCCACTGCTGGACCTCCTGATGGCACTGGTATTTCTGGCCACAGAGTGTTGGACTGGATGGGCCTTTGGCCTGATCCAACATTGGCGTCTCTTATGTTCTTAATGCATCCTGCTGATTCTGAAGTGGTTTCTTTCTTGTGCCTGAGTACTCCTGGAATGCCAGGTTGTCCCAGCCTACTCAGTGTGTGCGTGTGTGTGTGTGGGAATAGCACAATCCTAAAAAGAGGTACGCCCTTCTAATTCCATTGCATTCAGTGGACTTAGAAGGGTCATACTCTGCTTAGGACTGTATTGTTAGTGTGTGCAGCAGGTAGATGGAATCATGTTTCCAAAGTCCAGATTGGGTTGGCCAGCCAGAGACTTATCCTGGTTTGCATCCCTTTGGATTGTTTCCATTATCCTGAGACTGAATGGGAGACCTTTGCCTTGGGGCTTACCTGTTACTAAAAATTGACAGTGATCGCATTTAACATTCCTTATGGTGTCCTGATAAGAAATTTTTATATGTGTCCCCCTCCCCCAGGTCAATCGTAGCATATCAACCAGCAGGTGACAACAGCCACACTTTCGACCTCACAGCAATGTTCAAGTCCATTGGGATTTTCCTGGGGATATTCAGTGGATCATTTGCTATGGGAGCCGCCACCGGAGTCGTCACTGCTTTGATATCTTTTAAATTAAAATGAATCTTACTTGGCTTTAAATTGGTTACATCTATCTTTATAATCTCTGAACCGTTTCACTTCTGCATACTGCAAGGTGACAGATTTGGGGGGTGGGGTGAGGAGAGGCTGGTCTCAGCTGTACAGGTGACAATAAGTGCTCCATAGTGGCCAGGATGGTGTTGGGAACCTTGGGAAGAATCTTTACTGAAGTTTTGTGAATCTGCTGTAAACTGCATGATACATGGCTGGTTCCAGCTGGAGGATCATTATCCCAAGGCAGTGTGGGATAGTGGCTAGAGCCTTGGACTTGGGCTGTGGAAGTCCATGTTCAGATCCTGCTCAGCCAATAAACTCACTAGGTGACCTTAGCCTATCTCGCACTGTTGGCATAAGGGATTTATTTCTTTATATTTTATCCTTCATTTCATTCAATAACCAGCTCCCAAAGCACTCAGAGGAATCAAACTCTTATACCAATTATGGTTAAAGTTCAATATAAAATGTTCCTCATTGGGAGAGGAGTCAAGTTCAATATAAAATGTTCCTCATTGGGAGGGGAGTCAGTTTTCAGCTGAGCTGGATTCAGGCACAGTGGAGGTGTGGGGCATTCTGGCCGTTCCCTCCCCTCCCTCTGATGGCATTTTGATGGCAGTTGGAGGCTGCAAGGAAGGGGGTTCTCAGCTGAGCTGGACCCAGGCACGGTGGAGGAGTACTTGGTTGTGTTCTGCTCTCCCTCTGGTTGGAAGCCGAAAGGAATTTGGAAAAGTAAAAGAAGCCGAAAGGAATTTGGAAAAGTAAAAGTGCGCAATTTAAGTATTAACAAGCCACATATTTTCTTTGCTTTGCTGTATGGGAGGCATTGCCCTCCTTTCAGGGAAACAAGTAAAGGTAAAGGTTCCCTTGCTCGAAAGCCAGTTGAATCCGACTCTAGGGTTGCGGTGCTCATCTCCGTTTCAAAGCCGAAGAGCCAGCGCTGTCCGAAGACGTTTCTGTGGTCATGTGGCCGGCATGACTAAGCACCAAGGCGCACGGAAAGCTGTTACCTTCCCACTGAAGTGGTACCTATTTATCTACTTGCAATTTCTTGCTTTCGAACTGCTAGGTTGGCAGGAGCTGGAACTAGAGATGGGAGCTCACTCCGTCATGCGGCACACTTAGGTCTCGAACTGCTGAACTACCGACCTTCCACAGCCTACAGTTCAGCGTCTTAACCACTTGTGCCACCGCAGCTCCACTCAGGGATACAAAGAGGTGATTAATTAAGCAGGATGAGAAATTCCTCTTTTTCCTCGCTGAATATCATCCATGGAGTTCACTTCCTTAACCTCCTTTTGCCACGTCACTAAGTTTACTAAACTCCGCGAGTTCCAGCTGTTGGAAACTGGCTTGTTTTTCCTGATGTCTTGGAGCACCTTTCTTTTAGCTGAAGCTTGTGGCTTTACAGGTAGGATACATTCTGCCTCTGACAGCAGTAGGGATTTGAAGGCAGGACAGGGGAGGGAGTTGTATTGTGTGATGTGATATAGAAGGAAACAAATTATTTCATGTGTTTGCTGTAGACCAGAAGCTTATGGGCAAATAATTGGTAAGCTGGCTTGAATCAATATGAGAAACTCCAGCCCCATCACCATTGCTTCTTGGTTCTCATTGCCCCCATTGGGGTTGCCAGGTCAGAATGCTACAGTGGCATAAGGTGTAACTAGCCCCACTCCTTGCTGGCCATAAATGTTGTACAGCATAGATGTCATAATTCACCCTGCCTAACATGACCTGCAACGCAATCCCAAGCAGGGTTTTACATTTCTAAATCACTGGGCTTAGAAGGATGTTGTCATTCGCGGGCAAATGGTGGAAGGAGGGGAGGTGCTACACACCACTGGGTGAACAGCAGACTGCAGCTTTAGTAAGGTTCCCAGCCAGAAATAGTTTGGCTGTAGACAGGGATGCAAGCATAATTGTTTATGCCCAGGGATGCCCAGTCCAACTATGGAGCTGGTGCTGGATAGAAGAGGCTCTTGCAGGTCAAGCATTGCTACCTTAAGCCTTCCTCCCCTACGGGGTGGGGGGGAGAGAAACAGCTTCCTTTCCATTCTGCACAATGAAAAGTCCTGTGTAAGTGGAAAACCTGCATTCTTAGATAACAGCACTAGATGTGGAATATATGAAAGAGCAATTTGCACTGCTGCCTACAGCCTATAGCTGGGTTTCACATTTTGCAGGCTGGAGTCTGAATGCAATTCTTTGTCCCCAGGTGTCGTAGCAGTGCTGTTTTGTGGCATCACTCAGGCGCACTACACTTACAACAACTTGTCCACAGAGTCCCAGCACAGAACTAAGCAGGTGAGCTCATTGTGACTACCCGTGGGAACCCAGCCCAAGGAACAGGTGGCAAACTTTCTTTCTTTTCCTGCTAATAATTATGACCATGCTTTCCCTCTGTACTAGCCACTTTCATGGATTCATCAGATAACCCATTATTCTGGGGAGAGGGTGGGCTTGTGCTGAGTGTGTGGTTTTCCTGAGGTCAATGGGATGGAGTGCTGGTCTTCAGTTCTTGGGTTTTTGGTAGTAGTACTTGGGAAAATGTCTCCAATCAGTTTTGACACGCATTGCCACAGTTCTTTTAATGACTGGTTTTATTGACTATGCCTTTTGTTGAATATGCCCTTCGGAAGCTGCAGTAGCAGAAACTGCAAACCTATCTGTCTCTCTGCTGTGTGCTGCAAGACATTTTCCCTGTTCAAGCATATCGTGGAAGGATACACTTGGTGTTTTCCAGACATTATGTAACATTTATCACAAAGGTAAAATAACCATTCTCTGCCTTTCCCTCCACCACATCCCACTCTGCCATTTTAGCTATTTGAGCTTCTCAACTTCTTGGCTGAAAACTTCATCTTCTCCTACATGGGTCTTACGCTGTTCACCTTCCAGAATCACGTGTTTAATCCAACATTTATAGTGGGAGCTTTTGTATCCTTTTATGCTTTAAAAGCCCTCCTCCCCTTCCCTTGATCCACATATGTTGATGTATTTTCTTTAAACTTAGACATAAATCATATCCCAGTGCTGCTGCATTATTCTAAAGAGTTTGGGGGGAGGTTAATTTAAAAAGGAGCATGATAAGCAATTTGTGAAATTATCCATGGGATGGAAAGAATCTGTTTTCCTCTCTGTCTTATACATGTAGAACTTGGGAGTCACTCTATGTAATTGATTAATAGATTCATGGAAGATAAAGAAAGTGCATCTTCACATAATGCATGATGAATGAATGGAGATCAGTGCCATAAGATGGGGTGATGATGGCCACTTCCTTGAAAACGAGAATAGACATACTCATCAAGGAAGGTTCTGACAAAGCCATGGCAGCTAAATGGGACCTCCCTACTGGCTCTGAATAGAAGCTGCAGAGGGGCAAGGGTGCAAGAGCAGAGGAAGCCTTTATGGCTTCCTGAAAGCATGCCCCCCTTGGGAACTGGAATGTTGGAACAGATAGTTCTAGTAGGCATCTTAGATATAGGATCATCTTGTATGGTGGTGATCTTGTTGTGGGAGTACATGTGAATGTGATATGTGTTTGCAGTGTGCTAACATAACATGGTTAGGTCAGATGCTAGGTTAGTGTTCTCATGGCAAATCTTTCTTTGGTACCTAGAATGTTACTGTACTCCAAACTTCGTATGGTACACACATTTGCCCTTTGTAGAGATGATTGCCGTGCAAGAAAAATATAACACATGCAGAGACCCCTTAGATACTGTGGCCAGAATCTAAAGAAGCACATAGCAGGATCTCTGCACCCAGTAGAGATGTACAAGTTTGGGGGAGGGGGCTGTGAGGTACTGTGGGATGGGACCCCGCACTTGCTGTCGAGGTTGTGTCCTTACCAGGATTCTGTTAGCTTGAGAGCAAGCTAATTTTTGCTTTCCCCCTTTTCCCCTTAAATGATTCAACTATTCTCAATATTCTGTTGTCCTGGAGCATGTTCAGTCCTCATCAAACTATTTTGAGTAAATTGTTTTATTTTGTTTTGGGCTAATTTACAAAGCTGTATTTTTCTGCAGACCTGGGGGGACACCTCCACTTGATCTGGGGGTGGCCTTTTTTGTGATTTGTAGGAGTTCTGCCACTTTACTTACCGGATATAAGTGATTTCTCAGAAAGAGTCCTGCATATACAGTTTGCCAATAATTAAAAGTTTGTGAAATAACACTTTGTGTGTGTGTTGTGTTATATAAAGCAGTTTGTTGAGGACCTGGAAATCCTTCTTACCATTTGGAAGTCTAAAAAAGCTTGCAGGCAGTGCAATAAAGGCTGACTATTATGGGATAGTGAAGACTTTCGAGCAAACAAAGGGCCAGTTTTCCTGGTGTGGAGAGAATTGCAGTCAGTCTAGTGTGAGGATGCTGGGAAATGTTAGTCTTGCATAGGGGCTAAGTTAATATTTTTAGTTTAGTTGGCATGTGATACACGCTGATTAATATGCAGTCAGTCTAGTGTGAGGATGCTGGGATCTCTATGTACATCTGGAAATGTTAGTCTTGCATAGGGGCTAAGCTAATATTTTTAATTTAGTTGGCATGTGATACATGCTGATTAATGCGAGCAAATGAAGAAGAAAAATCCTTAATGCGTTCACAAATCTAGCTAGCAGTATTCTTGGGAAGAGCTGCAAATATTTATCCTCTATCTTTCCTCCTTAATTTGGGAAGAAGAAACAAGATTGGAACAAATTTTCAGCATATGATGATGTTTGCTGGTAAGTAAACGTTCGCTGTGATTTCATGTTCTGCCAGTCGTACAGAGATAAGATGGGCGGTTTTCATAACTAAAGTCATGAAAGGAATCAGCATGAAGAGACTGAAGTTGGACCCTTTCCTGAATTTTTGTGTGTTCTGTTAAGAATGCAATTGTGCCTTCTTAAACAAAGTTGCACACTTCTAAACCCATTGAGTTCAATGGACTTAGACCGCCAAAGCTGGGACTGCTGTGCAGGGGAAGGCAATAGCAGGCCACCTCTGCTTATCTCCTGTCTTGAAAATCCTATGAGGTTGAACTCCCATGAGTCGGTTGTGACTTGATGGCATGCTTTACTTTAGAAGTGTATAAATCTGCTTAGGATAACAAAGTTTGAGGCCAGTGGCACCTTTAAGACCAGCAAAGTTTTATTCAGAGTGTAATTTTTCGTGTGCATGCACACTTCTTCAGATAAAAGTGTACATGCACACGAAAACGTATACCTTGATTAAAACTTTGTTGGTCTTAAAGGTGCCACTGGCCTCAAACTTTGTTCTGCTCCTTCAGACCCACACAGCTACCCTTCTGGATCTATCTGCTCAGGATGGCATTGCAAGTGCAGTTTCACTAGGGAGCTGTGAGCCAAGAGTTCCTGGTTCAGATACTGCTTGGCCATGAACTTACTAGGGGGCTTAGGCAAGATGCTGTTCTCTTAGCTGCCGGTCCTCAACACTCCCTAACTGTAGTCAGAGGGCAATAATATTGTCCTGCATGTGGCTCTTCTAAGGATTATTGGGGCGACATGTGTTCCACACTTTGAGTGCTCTGAAACTCTGTACAAATGTTAGGGACTTCCAATTTGCTTCTGTAGTCATTTGCAGTGTCGGGGCAAGCTGTATAATATGCAAGCAGAAGTCTTTTTCTAAATGTGCAAAGTGTATAAGAAGATTTGTTAGTGGTGGACTGCTTCAGTGGCAGAAACTTTTTTAAAAAATCTGATGTATGCATCCTAAGAGAGAATGGGGGTGTGGGGAGTGTTGGAGAAGATAATAAATTGTCAGCAAAACCTAGAATTGTGCAGATATTTCTTGTCACCCCAACGGGGCTTTTTAGAGTTGAGTTCCTTGATTGATAGCAAACCTCCACCCCAAAGCTGCAAGGGAAACAGCTTTTTTGAAATGGAGGACAGCTTCCAAAACTGTGTGTGATGTGAAAGATGTGTGTGAGTCCTAGACTTTGAAGGGGAAGAAGGTACAGTGAGAACAGTGAGTGTACAAGCCCTCAGGTGCAGCTAGAGTCACTCTTTGTATCCTAAAGGTAAAGGTTCCCTTGCTCGAAAGCCAGTCGAATCCGACTCTAGGGTTGCGGTGCTCATCTCCGTTTCAAAGCCGAAGAGCCAGCGCTGTCCGAAGACGTTTCCGTGGTCATGTGGCCGGCATGACTAAACACCAAGGTGCACGGAATGCTGTTACTTTCCCACTGAAGTGGTACCTATTTATCTACTTGCATTTTCTTGCTTTCGAACTGCTAGGTTGGCAGGAGCTGGAACTAGAGACGGGAGCTCACTTCGTCATGCGGCACACTCGGGTCTCGAACCGCTGAACTACCGACCTTCCACAGCCTGCAGTTCAGCGTCTTAACCACTTGAGCCACCGCAGCTCCTCTTTGTATCCTACCTATAGATAATAAATAGCTTTGGTTGATTTCCATGTGCTGTTTCTCCCCAGGCTTGCGTGGTGCCATGGCCTTTGCCTTGGCCATTCGGGACACGGCCACCTATGCACGGCAGATGATGTTCAGTACTACGCTTCTGATTGTGTTTTTCACTGTCTGGGTCTTTGGTGGTGGCACCACCCCCATGCTCTCTTGCCTGCATATTAGGTGAGTGCAACTGTTGTGCTCTCAGCTATTCCTTAGGTAAGGAACTTTTGGTACGTAGCTTTTCATTCTGATGCTTCAGTGTGTCTGCTGCTCGTTGGCACAATTCAGCTGACTTCAGGCACAAACAAACTCCAGGTTCAGTGGAAATGTTATTACTGTGAACTGCCTCAAACAAGCTGCCTTGGTTCTCAGGTTTTAGAAATTTTGAAAATAAATACAACCCTGACCTGAATAGCGCAGGCTAGCCCGGTCTTGTCAGATCTTGGAAGCTAAGCAGGGTTGACCCTGGCTAGTATTTGGGTGGGAGACCTCCAAGGAATACCAGGGCTGTGACGCAGAGGGAGACAACCACCTCTGAGTATCTCTTGCCATGAGAGCCCTGCTGAGTCACCATAAGTCACATGTGACTTGACAGGAAAATAATAATAATAATAATTAATAATGTCTTATTAAAAACAGTGCTAGCAATCACAGGTTGACATCTTGGTCATAGTATTGAAATAATTGAATCTTGTGGTTGCATGGGTCCCACAGAATGAGAAATGTAGGATGAGTGAAAGTATCCTTATTACACCATGTGTCTGCTTTTAGTGTAGAAGCTCTTGGGTTGCATCAGATGCTGATCTATCATGTAGATTTGGGTTTAAGAAACTTTTTGGGTCTCTGTAGCCTGTCGTAGTTCATATGGGTGAAAATTAGGACATGCTTGAAGGAATTTACTCCTGCTCTCTTTCTTCTAATACTCTTATTTTTAATTCTATTCATAAGACTGCAGTTCTGGGGTCTTTTCTTTTTTCTTTTTTAATGAGAACATACCATAGAAACGGAATGGGGGGACTCCAGTCCTTTCTGCACCCATATTTTGTCTTGGTTTCTGAGTGCATCCTATTCTTCCACTCTGCATTCCCTCCCGCTTTCACTTTCAGGTTGTGTCAGGGATTTTTCTTGTTTCTGCATTTGTTTTACAGGAATCTGCATTCAGACCGCTTCCAGCACGCTTTTGCCCTGCGGCTACCAAAACTCCTTTTGCTGTGATTCTTTGTTCTCATCCGCTTTCAGATCCCTAATCCTTTCTAAAGTAGAATTGTTTATCCAGGTATATAAGTGCTGCCCACTGCCCTCCCCCATTTCCGCCTCTCTCTCTTTAGGTTGACACTCCCTCCCCATTCTGTTTTCTTTTCCTCCTTCTCCAAAGACAAAAGAGGACGTGTCCTCCCGCTCAGGCAAACTTTAAAAAAGCCGGAGAGAGCATATAAAGGACTAGGGGATTCCCTGCTCCCAGACGTGTCAGTATTGTGGGCCTGGATTTCCGCCTCCCTTCTCTTTCTTTTTGCAGAATCACGGAGGGAGGGAGGGGCTGGCAGCCAGTTAGCTCCAAAAATGCGGGTTTTGCTTGTAGATGCAGAATGCATATAGAATGCACAAATAAATAAACCAGAGGGGGAAAACCCAGCTTAGAGGGAATGCATGTGACTGCGAAGTCATCCCTTAAGGCCTGACTCCTTGGATTCCCTGGAGCAAGCTGTCAGCAAGTGAAATATTCCTACTTTGCCACTGGGTGTCACCTGGGCCACATGTCTTGGTTAGAATAAAAGTAGTGGCTGAATGAAGAGCAAGTTAGGTTAACATAAAATATATATATTCTACATGAAACATCTTCAAGAAACCATATGACTTCTACGTAGGAAGGTTGTCCAGAGAGTTGGGGAGGCAGTTGATCCTCTGAACAAGTAAGTGGAGTAGATAATAGGGTACATGAGAGCCAGTATGTTGAGCCTATTAGGGCAAGACGAAGGTGGCGTTAATCAACAGTAAAACTAACCAGGGAGTGAAGAGTCAGCCTGACTCAAATGGATTACCTCCCCTTTGAAAGAGCAGGTTAACACCTTGGGTATATTTATTCATTTATTTATTTATTTTACTTTGATTTCATTATAGGCCCCCGTCACACGGGAGGATTATATCCGCAAGAGGGACGGATCGGGGGCACATCAAGCGGGCGCGATCACACCGCAACATCTGGGAAGTGGCGCGCACCCGTCCCTGATCCGTCTCTTCCGGCCGAAGATGTGGATTAAACAAAAAACCCTAGAAAACACTAGTACCTACCGGAAAATCCGGTGCAGGGACGGTGATCTGATCGCCGGCGCACCTGTCTCTCCCGCAGCATGTGAGGTCCTGCCGAACTGCGCATGCACACGCATGTGCAGCGGGCTTGCCTCGCTCTCCGGTCCGTGGCTTCCTTCCGGCATCTGATCGTGCCGGGGAGGACCTGCACGGCGGCTGGGGGGATCTGTCTGATCCTGCTGCCGCGCTTCTCGACAGATAATGAAACTGAAGCTCAAATACTTTGGCCACCAAATGAGAAGGGAGCACTCACTGGAGAAGACCCTGATGCTGGGAAAGATTGAAGGTCAAAGAAGACGGGGACGGCAAAGGATGAGATGGTTAGACAGTGTCATAGATGCAACGAACATGAAATTGAGCCAACTTCAGAGGACGGCGGAAGACCGGAAGGCCTGGCGGGATCTTGTCCATGGGGTCGTGAAGAGTCGGACTCGACTGTGCGACTGAACAACAACAAAACAGTGCAACAACCGGATTATAAAAATCAGAAAACTATGCAGAGACCCTCTTCTGAGTGTCCCCAGGTTTTGAAGTGCGATATCTTGGAGAGATAGGCCCTTCTCTGTGGGGACATTTGTGTACTTACTTCACTTATACCCCGCCTTTCTTCCCAATGGCAAGCAGCTTTCATCACACCTAGCATGTGTATCTCCTAATGGGGCTTGGACGTTTCAGAGAGGTGGCTTACTATTGCCTGCCTCTGTGTCCCGGCCCTGATATTCCTTGGAGGTCTCCCATCCAAGTACTTGCCAGGGTCGGCCCTGCTCAGCTTCTGAGATCTGATGGGATCGGGCTTGCCTGGGCTTTCCAGGTCAGGGCTATTTACCTGTTCTTTTGACCTTCAGGTATCTGGTGAAGATGGTTCTGTTCTCCCATACACTTGGCAATAATTCGTACCTATATCTTTGTTTAGCGTTTGGTGTTTTGCTGCCTTTAAACTTTATATTTAATTGCTGCTTTTAGCACTTTACCTTGTTATTATGTTTTATTATATTTTGTGATATTTCCTTCATTGTGTGAACGGCTTTGGGATTTGTTCTTATTTAGGACGAGCTCTAGAAATATTTTATATAATAAATACTACCATGTTGTATTTTACACTGAGTTCAGTCTCTCCATGTAAGAAAACCACATTTATGTGATGGTGTTTTAGGTACAATGTGTGTGACTTTTCAGTTTGCGGTATACCAACTATATGGTCATATACCTTCACAGAGCTCTCAGCTCGGCCCGTGAGATAGTTTGACAGTATGATCCTAAGCAAATTTAGAGCTAAGCCCGTTGGCTTCAATGAATTTAGGATCGCACTGTGTATAACAACTGACCTGAGTCTTTGTTCTTTACAGGGTTGGTGTAGATGCAGATCAGGAGAACTTGGTAAGTATTGCTAAGCAGAGCCCCTCCAGTGTACTCATAATGGTTGTCTCCAAATTGTTCAGCCACCTCCATTAAATCCATTCTTTAACCATTTCTTCTTGTCTTTATATAACAATTGCACTACAATTCGTCTTCCATCTTCTCAACAGTTTTTGTCTATGGCTGCAAGGATTTAAAAGTCTTTTGTGGGTGTATTAAAATGGCATGCCTCAGTAACTGTTGGGGACCAGCAAAGCAAGTCCTTACCGGAGCCTGTTGGTCCCTCCTTGCAAAAAACATCAAGCATTAATGTGAGTGCCACAGTGCAGCTATGCTACAATGAAGCATAGATGGCTGGAAGGAGCTCTCTTAAGGGAACTGAGTGAAACACCCGAAAGACTAGGTTCCAGGGTATTCCAGTTTGGTGTAGTGGTTAAGAGTGGCAGACTCTAATTTGGAGAACTGGGTTTGATTCCCCACTCCTCCACATGCAGCCAGCTGGGTGACCTTGGATCAGTCACAGTTCTCTCAGAGCTCTGTCAGCCTCACCTACCTCACAGGGTGACTGTTGTGGGGAGAGGAAAGGAAGGAGATTGTAAGCTGCTCTGAGACTCCGAGTCAAGGGTGGGGTATAAATCCAATCTCTCCTCTTCCTCCTCCTCCAAGCTCCCAGTGGCACAGCTCAGGCAGAGGAGGGAGTGGCTGCTGCAAAGACTGAGGGAGAGAAAATGGCTGCTGTGTGGGCAGGACCAGGAAAATCCAGATTCTTCTGCCTGCACAGCAGCCATCCAGGCTTTGGTGCGATTTCCCCCAAACCTTTTTTAGCCAAGTAGGTTTGGGGAAAGAACAGCAGAAAGCAGGGGGAAACCCCAGAGGTGTATAAAGGCGCCATAATGCTGTGTGGGTGTGGGGAGAAAAAACCTGCTTCCCAACAGCATCATACCTGAGGCAAATAACTCATGTGGAAAAGGGTCTAGAATTTGGGACCCCATAAGTCCCTTGATGATCCTCAAGGCTGGAGTCTGCCTAGGGCCTCAAAACCTGGATATTCTGCAATAATTTACTGCACATTTCAGTGGGTCCCCAGTTAGATTCTGCCCCATATTCTATCAGGATTCATATAGAATTCAGATTGACTACCCAAGTTTCCCAGTGATCTTTCTGCCTGAATGGAGTCTTGAATCTGGGTCTTCCTGTTTGAAGTCCAATACCATAGCCATGGATGTGGCAGTTTTATGGATGTGGCAGCAGCGGTGAGCAGAATGGAAGGGAGGAGGGAAAGGTATTCACACTCCCAGTTAGCATCATGCTGTTCTCCTTGCAGCGCAGCACACACACCCCCTTCACCCCTTAACACACTTCAAAGGGAGGAAATGCCATTTAGGTCACCAGCACCACCACCTCCCCTGGACTGGCTATGAGCAGAGAGTCCACATGGATACTCCACCTACAGCCAGCCCAAGATTAATCTAGTTTAAGGGGAAAATGTGAGAGCCCCCCAAACACCCCATGCCTTTGTTGGGCACAAACTAAATGCCCCCCAATAAAGCAAGGGCTTCCTGCAGTCCATGTGGGGAATAATCCCTGAGTGACAGCAGCCTGTGACATCCAAGTGGCTTTGTGGAAATTGATTTAAAATTCTATAATCATGTTTCATTAATTTGTTTCAGGGTGTGCCGGAAAATGAAAGGAGAAGTACAAAAGCAGAGAGTGCCTGGCTGTTCAGGTTATGGTACAACTTTGATCATAAGTATCCTTCAGAGACGTGATAATCTATTAGCCTTAATCACATGCAATGTTTTACCTCTCAGGCTTTGTACCAGGCGGGTAACAGCTGCTTCCCTGCAAGATGGCAGGGAGTATAATTTGGCAGGAAAGATCAATCTTCCTTCTTTCGTCCAGCTGTGGATTCTTCACTTAGGCTAGCCGGGCATCTGCTAATGGAAGGCAAGAAACTCCGCAATAAATCGGTTGTGTTTGCAGTTGCATAAAGGACCGGCTAGGGATGGTTGATAGCTTCCTCGATTTTTCATTCCTGGGGCCTGCTTTATTCTCCTGACAAATGGTCCAAAGTCCAGAAGTGTAGTTGCTTGCACTGCCTAACTGTCTTAAACAGTTGACACAGCTTCGTCCTACAGCATTTTACATATTTCAGCAACCACCCAAATGCTATATGCTCACTGGCCCAGGATGCCTATTTTGGAATACCACTGGTTATTCTTATTGTTACTATTAGTCCTTCCATCAGTTCAGTTCAATTTTATTGCATAGGGCCAATGGCCATTACAAGAGGTTGACAGTGAATAAATTCTATACGGTAAAATACAGTACCGTGAGACTGAATTAAAATACCATAAAATTACATTTTAAAACTTGTTTCATAAGAGAGACTCCCGTAAGCAACTGACCTATGCTGTCCCTAGCTTGGCCTGAATTTTCTTTGCCGCTAAGGCAGAAAGGGCAACCTTCTATGAGACCTCTGATTCCACATCAGCAAGTAAAAATATGACCTGTTCCATCACAGCGCTAAGGCCTAAATTGGCCAAGATTGTACCTAAAAATTTCAGCCTGGGAGCTGAATAAAGCAGACAAGCCAGCAGATAATGGCCCAGGTCTTCAGGATCTGGACAGCCGCATATACAGAGGCACTGGGCAACTGATGTTTGAGTATAGCGACCTTCAAGCATGGCTGTTCGCATCGTTTGGAAACGAATAGATGTGAAAGCGGAACGTAATTTTAAAAAGGAAATCTTGGACAGATATTGTGCCCTAAAATGATCTCGTTTAATAAATTTATACCAAGGTGAAAATTTGGTTCCCAATATAACGTGCCTGTCTGAAGCAGCATCATGCGAGTATATTTGAGCCCTACCGTTGAAATCAGCCTGAGAAGCTCCTCAAACAACATCTGGCAGATTATATATTTGGAGAATTTTGTTATAATTGGACTGTGATTTTGTTTCTTTTAGGCTAATGGAAAAAACAGATGCGTGAGAGATGACCTACTGGAGCTCTCTTCAGTTTATGCCAGTAATTTATGTGCAGGTGCCCAAAGAGAAGGGAGGCCCAGCTCGGCTTTCAGCAAAGCAGCTGGAGTGTTAGGAGGTACTACTAAAATCCTTTTCAGGAAAGAATTTTGAATTCTCTCCAGATTTGCAATTAAGGCATCATTCCATCCCCACACCCCCACACCGTAGAGGAGTTGGGCGTAGTCCTTCCTTCATAGTTACTTAACAGTTTTATTTACTATCATTATTATTATCCATAAATACTGCTAATATATAGCAGTTTTTAATTTTTCATAAACTGATATAAACTACTGTAGGCCAGGTAATTTTTTCCCCCTTGGCCACAGGCTTCTTGTTCACTATCTCTGGCTGGAGCTGAGAATGCAAATCCTCCCTCACAGAAATGTTTTATTCCTTGACAAGCACTACCCTCAGCTACTTGAAACCTCTCCTGACGCATAGCGGCCCTCCTCTTACAACTACACTCCCAAGTTGCTGTGGGCCTATTGCACGGTGCTTGACAAGCCCACAAGCTTACGAGGTAAGAGCAAAGCCACGTGATGGTCAATAGGGTTCTCTTCCTGGGCTTTTTATATTTCCACAGCCATGGATGTTGGCCATGCAAAATGGTGGCTGCTTGTGCTGATCCAGTGGAGTGGCCAGAAGATCTGCTGCTTTTGCATTTCCCAAACTGACAATGGTGATTAGTCTGAGTCTGCATTCAGGTACCACATTGAGCTGTTGTTTGCTTAAGGCTGCCTCCTACCTGCATGAGCAGCATTTGGGAACATCCAGACAGCTTGTCTGACTCCTGCATGTTTCCTCTTAGGGGAAACTGTGGATTGGCTGCGGGTGGAGTGTTCATCTGGGTGCTCTGCCTCCAGCTGCTGTGGAGGGGCCCTAAGCCCCAGCTTCACAATGGCAGATATAAGCTCCCCAGTTGTTCCTCCCCACACACACCTTTCAACTCTCTAAAGAGCATTTCACAGCTAATTCACAGTATTTCACAGAGAGCCAGTTTGGTGTAGTGGTTAAGTGCGTAGACTCTAATGTGGGAGAACCGGGTTTGATTCCCCACTCCTCCACTTGCACCTGGCTGGATGGCCTTGGGCAAGCCGTAGTTCTGGCACAGCTGTCCTTGAAAAAGAGCAGTTTCTGTCAGAGCTCTCTCAGCCCCACCCACCTCACAGGGTGTCTGTTGTGGGGAGGGGAAGGGAAAGGGGTTTGTAAACCGCTCTGAGACACCTTTGGGTAGTGAAGGGCGGGGTATAAATCCAATCTCTTCTTCTTCTTCTAAGTTACGGTGCAGTGGCATTGGGAATACTGAGTCTGGTTTTGCTCACCCAATTCACAAAGTTTGGAAAGGAGCACGGAGAGAACAACCAGATGATTAAAGGGCTGGAGGAAAGGTTAAGGAGCATCCGGCTTTCACTAAACATGGAGACGATGGGCGGTTATTCAGTTATACTTGGAGAGAGCACTTTTCCTCCCTGTCCTATAATAGAAGTACCCGGGGTCACTCAATGAAATTGATCTACGCTGTTGTAATTAACTAATAGAATTAACTGCCAAGAGTATGTGGTGATGACCAGCCTTAGATGACTTGAAAGGTGATTAGACAAATTCATAAAGTATAGCACCAAAGGCCGTTAGCCTTGATGGCTAAATGGAGCTAGCAAGGGTTAGATTCTGTGGTTACCTGAGTGGAAGGCATTTGTGGTGGTGGATCTTTACCTGACCTTGCCTTCTCAGAGTAGCCCTATATGATCCCTGAAAAGGCATTGGGAGCTTCACCGGGGGGCGGGGGGAGCGGCGGTATGTGGAATCACTCCCACCCTGCTCTTGCACCAATAGAAAACTTGCTTGTAGGTTCACAAAGGGCTGCTGTGAGAAGGTTAAGGAACCTCCCTGATGAGTGCCCTAGTTGCTGGTTCCAAATCCCACCAAATATGGCTGAATTGTAAGCCTTTTTGCTCCTACGTACGCAACAAGTGCCTTTTAAAGGTTGTACTTTTTGGCCTAGCCTTTTAGAGAAACTGCAGTTGTCTCTGTTTAGCGCACTAGCTGTTTAGTAGAACTAATCTCTCTCTTTATCCAGAATCAAGAGCAGCTGAAGGATGATGATTCAGATCTCATTTTGAATGATGGAGACATCAGTTTGACATATGGGGATTCCACCGTGAATACCGATTCCCTGACATCGGGTACATCTAGAAGAGCAGCAGGAAATGGCTCAGAGGATGCTCTGGACCAGGAGCTTGGTTTTGGGGATCATGAACTTGTCATACGGGGTACCCGCTTAGTTCTCCCAATGGATGACTCAGAGCCACCTTCAAATGTAGTAGATAACGCAAGGCATGGCCCAGCGTAAGATCGTTGCTGGATTTGACTCGCAGTCAAAAAAAAGAAAAAAGATCCATGTATGATCATGAAGAAAAAATGTACTACCTACGACAAAAACCTACTGCATGTCTCAGAATGTCTAAGCTGTATAAATATTATTTATTTATATGGTGTCAGGAGAATATAACTATCCGTATGAGACAACTTGTGAAGAGCAAGGTGTTAATTTCTTAAGTTAAACAAACAGCTCATGGACTGCACTGTGTAGGGTGGAACTGTTTAGAACAAAAATTCTGTTGTGTGGAGAAGAACTTTTTTTATTTTAAAAGACGTGGGATGAAATGTGTTGGTAGCAACCCTTTTAACTGTACGACAGCAATCTGCTTTGCTGTTGGCTTTCACAACTCGACCTAAGGTTAATGCTTATCCAAGAGCAGTAAGGCAGTAGTCATTGGGTTTGTTTGAGGGGCTGTTTTTTTTTTTTGGCAAACCTGTTTTAGATGGCAGAAAAGCATTTCGCTACTCAAGAAGTTTGCTGCAGAGGATGACTGCTTTTGATTCTTTAAGCATTGTTATAAGAACTACTGTAGGATGTAGCGTAATAGATCTCATTGGCCTCTATATGATGTTTCTAGACCCACCATCTTTGCTTCTGGTCAGCTGATAACAGCTGAGTTAGGACTGCGTGCAGGCTGCTGGATGGCGGCTTGTTGCCGAGCAGTTTGCAGCTCTCTTCCAGCTCAAGTCGGAGAGGAGCATGACAAGGCCGAAGCAGAAGTCAGTTCTTTGAGTATGTAGTTGTGTTGCAAGTTGTGTTTTGTTTGTTTGTTGCCTTGTCAAACACTCGCTCTCGCCTTTTCCTGTGTAGGATCGGGGACAGGTTTTGAGCTTTGAAACAGTCAGAACTTGCTGAGTTCGATTTCTCACATAGCGGAACAGGCAGTGTTTCTAGCGCAGGTAAGGACAGTATGAAGCCGTTACTGGGTTCATTTAACTTCTAGCTCAGCAGGGCGTGCCTTGTGTTGTGTCAGAACTTTCTTCTTATTGCATGGCTGCTGAGAATACAGCTGAAGTTGCTGGTCTGGTACAGTTCCACTCTACATCATGGGGGCTGGCACATGCAAAGATCTGAGACTCTGTGTGCGGTTTTTTAAAAAGAGGCATTTAGTAGATTAGGTGGTACCGAAAGGGAGTTGTCTCTCCGTCCATTCTGTATAGTTGCACTTTTGTTTGGTAACTCCTTTGCATGCTCGTGTGTCTATTAAAGAAAACCCTTGATTTTTGTTCTTGCATCTCTTTCCTGTTTAATGAGAAATGTCCGTAAGCTGCCATTGTTTCTTTATGGTTGTTACTTTTTTTTTTTTTTGCCGGAGAAAGAGCACTGAACAATTTGCTGTTATTGCACTTGGTATATTCAGCTTTGTTCTGCAATTATTATTTTTTTTTTAATGTTGCGGCGGTTTTGAGAAGCGAAGAATTCTGAATGTTTTGTTTTCTACATAGAAAACAGCAGCAGTATGAAACGTTTACTGTGCACAATTCCTGTATCATATTTTTACTTTCAGATGTAGCCCCTGATGGATCTTCTTGTAATCAGAGGTACTAGGGGGCTGTTACAAACTTAACATTCACTTCCTCAGCAGAGGAGAATGATTACCACCCCACCCCAGGAATGCAGGACTGAATTGTGATCTCAAGTTGTGCATCATTTGAGGTCTTTGAGAAGTTCTAGAGCTGTTTCTTCTGCTGTGTTTCAGATTCTTTGAAGGGCCTGCTCACATGACTTTCCAGTGAGAAATCTTGTCCTCGTTGTGAGCATTGAGTGTTAAGCATAAGCACACCCTTCTTTTCTAGTGAAGAGAAAGTAACTATTGAATTGGGCAATGCTATCTTGGTATGAATGAGGGCTCTCTATGATAATTTGCATAGTTTGGGGGGCTGATCAGATGGCTGCAGAAAAACAAAACCCCACACATTCAGATAAGTGTGATGTAGCCTAGTTTGTCCATTACTTTCTTTCCATAGTTGGGCCACGGGGGTGGGGGTGGGGTTTGAAATCGGTACCAAATTCCAGTTTCTCCCTAGAAAGTAGCAAATGAAGAGGCTCAACATTTCTCACTTTTTGAAGAAGGAGGCTTTCGGTTTTGTCTTTGGGCAATTGGACCCAGTGTTTCTAGTGCTACGCCAGAACTAGGGGAGCACTCATGTAAAAGATGTTAGGAGATGGTATTATATTACAGCCAAGAAAACAGATTGCTTTCTTTTTGTTTTAAATTTTATGTTCTCAGGTCTGGATAACATGCCTTAAGTACATGTCAGTGCAATGTCTGGTGTCCCCAGGAACATCATAGGTTCTTCTTCTTCTTCTGTAAGAGCATTTCCAGTCAGCGTTTTAGGCACAACCAGCCAGAATGCCTTTTTGTGCATGCCCCACTGAAATGAAGGGGATTTTTCAAGAATGGCCTGATCTGTTGCTATGTGGCTTGTGCCAGAAGTGGGACCTTTGTTGCACCTAAGAAATGGCAGTTTTAATTGTTGTCATAGGAGCTTGTTGCTGTTTAGTGCCAGTATGTCTTTTCTTTTCTTTTTCCTGCTATGCAGGAATTTCATGAAGAGGTGTGTGTGTGTGTGTTTTATATGATGTCTGAATCTTAACATCAGATGTTTTTTAAAAAAGAAGCATTTTCATATGTTGAGGTATTTTTACATCTCTTATACATTAGTCCCTTCTTTTGTTCTATGACTTTTCCAGACACGAGAGAACCTGTTGATTTATTTTTAAATCTTCAGATGACTAATGAGCAGGTTTACAAAAGATCCCCAGCTGCTACTCTAGAATCCTGTCAAGTAGACCTACTGTACAAATCTGCTTCTTGGAGTCTGGTCATGCCTAACATTTTCCCTGACAGAAGGGAGGAGGAATTTTGCTCATTTTACCACTCCAACTGCAAAAATCCCCCCCCCATGCTGTTCCTGGGATTCCCTGTCCCTCAGTTGCAGAATCTTGGGGAGCAGTCGGGACTGCATTGGGAGGGTTGAGGCGAGAAAGTCACACTTGGCTGACAAAAATCCTTCTGTCAGTGGTAATTTTCATTGGGATCCAAACTATTATCTCCCCCCACCCCCAATCTGGAAGACTGCTTATATCGAGTGGGTTCCACTGGTATGTTCTTGAGCCCTGTTTGTACAAACATCATTGACGTTAACAAGGCAGCAGCTCCACATTCATACATGGCTTCTTATTCTCCCAGCAGAGGAAGTAACACATGATCTTGGGATGGACTGGCCATTTGACCTACTGGGAAAGTTTCTGGTGGGCTGCTACCTTGGAGGGCTGCTGGCATCAAGGAGTAAGGAAAGCCAAGCCCCCAGCAGTTGTACCAAGGCGTCCGGAGCCACTTGGCTTGGGCCTTTCTGCATTCGCTTCCCAGTTACCTCCTCCTGAACCATTAACAAACAGTGACAGTGCAGGAAGAAGAGGCAGCTGCTGAGTTGACATCGTTGGGTCTAAGCTGAGTGGTCCCTGCAGTACTGGTTCACAGCACCACAGGGGACACTCAGCTCGGCTTGTTCTGGGCCATTTAAATGTCCTAGTCCACATCTGTGTGATAGTACAGTGCTAGATTTTCTGCATGTTACCTGTGCTACAGATGGGAGGCTTAGGGAGATCCTGGATGCAGCTGAACTTGACATTGTGTCAGTTGCTCTGCTTTCTGCTTGGGGAGAGATTGCTTACTCCCTTTAGTACAGAGTACAAAAACATTCATGCATCATTTGTGATCTCCCCACGCAGAGTCTCAGTGGTGTCTGCTTTGTTGTTGGAAGCAGAAATTAGACACTTAAGATGACCAACGTAAGGTGGGAACTAAGATGCTCAATTGTATAGAAATTTGTTGAAGCAGTGCAGCGCATGGGGATATAAATTATCTTGCACAGTGACCAGCTGCAACAGACTGAGGCTAAGGGTGGGTCATAGATGCCTATCTTGAAAAGACAGGCAAATGTGCCGTCAGGCAGTGAGCGCTCCATTAGAGGCACTTTCCCAAAATAGTGGCAGTTGAATGTACTTAATTTCCTTAGGAGCATTCCCTTTCTGACTTCCATAAATGAAAGTCTGTTACCACAGTTTCTGTAGCTTAATTATGGAGGGGAGGGGTTTTTTTTACATGTGATGTCAGAGTTGGTCAGGGTTATTCCTGCCCCCCACACATCTATTTCCCTTGCACCAAAGGGAACATCTCTGCGAAACGTCAAAATCAATTTTTGGTTACAATTTATAAAAAAATGAATACACTCCCTACCTTTGTTTAATACATTACTTGTTCGGCATGTTTATGCCAACATGCCACTATAGTTCCAGATTTTTCACTCCAGTAATAATTTTAACTGTTTATTAGGATTCTGTAGTCAAAGTGGCTGTTCTGGTCCTCAGTTTTTATTGCATGTAAATAATTTTTAAAAGAGAGATGTTTAACATTGGAACGAAATAATAAAGTCTATGAAACCTCCCAGGGTTCATCTGTGATTTGCAAGGAATGACTAACAATTAATAGTATTTACTAATTTCTTTGTTCCTTCTACTTCTTTTCCCCCAGGGGGGTCTCTGTATCCATAGTTCTTAATGACCTCAAATGCAGTTGTGGGAACCTTATTACCTCTTAAGGCCAGGCTTAACAGACCTTCTAGGCAGTGTTTGCCTCAGGAGAATATTCTTGATTTAGATTTAGGAAGGTCCTTTCCCTTCAAAAAAGTCTGTTCTATAAGTTGAATGACCCTTCCCCCTACCACTGAATCAAAAGACTTCGTTCTGGTTTACTCTAAATACTGTTGGAATTGTCTGTTTTTAATGGTATTAACTGCTATGGTTGTGGTGTTTTTGTGATTATATTCTTAATAAGCATAATTGCACCTACTTTTGTTCATGACTAAATCTTTTATTGTTACTTGCACTGTGAAAAAAAGAAAAGAATCATGGGCCTATAAAACCAAGTTTGTTTCTTTGCGTCTGGTGTTTCTTTAATCCACATTTTAAAAGTATGTGTGTGTTTAAACATTATTTTGATATATGCCATACCCAGTAGGGTTTGGAAAACTTTGAACCCTCTTAAGAAAAAAATCCATCTCACAAGAAGAAGCAAAGCAATATTAAGTAAAAATAGTTTCAGTGTTAAAACCTATTAGAGCTGTAATGAATTCACAGTAAGAAACTACGCAATCATAATACAAATATTTAATAATAGTTATAAATACAACAGGTTATATAGCCAAACCATGAAGTTGGATCCAAAAGCACCCTTTCTGTAAGTGGAAAGGCATCTTTGGATCCAGCCCATTAAATCTTCATTAGTCATAAAAACAAGGATTAGCCAAACACATTTAGATCATATGGTCTTCTGCACTGGTTTGTATTTCTAAAAAAAAAGTCTTAAAACCAAAAAGAGTTGCACGGTTTGACTGCAGCAAGTTGGTAAGTCTCAAGGGCAAGGATTATTCACTGAAAAAATATGCTTGTTAAAACATCTTTGGCAGACCAAACTTGGTTTTACAGTAGTTGCACAATGTCTTAATGCCAACTTACAGTTTTATTAGATCTTATACCCTTTTTATCCTTCACACCATAAATGTGTAGGAGCCTTTTTTAAGAGCTGCTCTAAACATTTGCACAATGTACTCAACACAGTGCAGTCCTTAGCATAGTTATTCCCTTCTAAATTCATGGTCTCAGAATGGTGTAACACTGTTTAGGATTGCACTGTCAAACTCTTCCCTCTTACCTAGCAATTTGGGATACTTCTACAGTGGTGTAGTGGTTAAGAGCGGTGGACTCTAATCTGGAGAACTGGGTTTGATTCCCCACTGCCCCACATGAAGCCTGCTGGGTGACCTTGGGCCAATCACAGTTCTGCCAGAACTCTCTCAGACCCACCTGCCTCATAAGGTGACTCTTGTGGGGACAGAAAGGGAAGGCAATTATAAGCCACTTTTAGACTCCTTAGGGTAGAGAAAGGGTAAAAAAGCAACAACTCTTCTTCTACAGTGTCCTGTTCTTGTGCAAAAACTATTTCCATATAGCTATTTTTTAATTAATTTTATTAAAAGATATGTCAAGTATACATAAACAAGAATGCTGTTTAATAAACATTAATACAAACTGTAAGTGCAGATACATATATCACAATGCCATCTATTAATTTGTCAGCAGGATCATCCTATGACCATGTCTTTGTCACTTTCTTGTGATTTTCCAATTATTCTACTATTACTAAAGTAATAACGTATAATAAATCCAGATAGATAGTTGTACTCAGAAATAGCTGGAATGGCTGTGGGATTTCACTCTCCACCTCAGGGCATCGCTGTGGTATGTGGCACAGAGGCAAGGAAACATCTTGACGGTGTTTCTGTAATAAAAGAGCGGCCATGTATAAATGTAAACAGCTACACATTAAAGTTTCTAGGACTACATCTCATAGGATTGAGAACAATAGAAGACACGTGAGATGGGGGGAGGGAAGAAAAGGCTGATCCCCCCCCCCCAGTTGCAGTAATAAAACTTGTCAAGCTAAGTGAGAAAGCGCGGAGATGGAAAGGCCTGCTTTGGTACCGGCAGCACCAGTCCAGGGTTGGTACAGGAGCTGTGGAGAATGGCAGGACTGCGCTTGACCACGCTTGGAGGGGAAAATCCCCCCCACTGACCAGAATGTTTCTTGAGCCATGGCCCCCTTAGGCCCTCCTTTTGAGGATCCTCAAGGTTTTTTGAGCACATCAGAAAAGATTGCCCTGCAGATATGTGGGTCCAAGGTCATGAAGGACTTTGTAGGTTATAACTAGAACCTCGAATTGCCCCTTGTAACTGATCAGTAATCAAAAGGAGTCACTGCAGAATGTGCCTCTGCCTGTATCCCAATAGTAACCAAGCTGCAGTGTTCTGTACCACCTAGAGTTACCACAATGACTTCATGAGCAGACCCATGCATTACGATATTTTAGCTTTGAATTCACTGTAGTGTAGATCCATGTGGCCCCAGCAGCTGTGTCAAGGTAGGGGGCCCATTTCCAGGCTTGATGAAGTTGGAAGGAAGGCTCTCTTTTTCTTTCTTTTTTTGGCCGCTGCAATATTGCTGGGTTCAGTATAACCCCTGGGCTTTTACCTGCGTCAACAAGACTAAATGCCGTCAAATGCGGGAAGCACAATGTCCTTCAAGACCTCAGGCTTCCCAGACAGCATTACTTCTGTCAGGATTCAGTTTCAGCTTGTTCACTCTTAGGGATTTAACCGCACTACCACAGCAGTCAGTATACCTGAAGGGTATAAATATGGATCTATATGATCTGTAGCAGGGGTCATTTCCTGCAGGAGCACACAGGAGCAGAGCTCCGGCAGTAAAGAGCTCAGGGGGCGGGCACATGCAACAAGCCCCACCCCCCTGCTCCCAGCAACCCTCAGTCAGAGCAAGAAGCAGCCAGGTAAGTTGCAGAGGGCCTCCCCCCAACTCCCTGGTCCAAAACAGTCCAGTGGCACCTTTGAGACTAAGTTCTATTCAGGTACAAGCTCTCCCTTCTCTGCGAGGACAGATCTGCATGTTCCCCCGTAGCTAGCAATCCAAAACAGTCCAGTGGAGCCTGAGCAGTGGGTGTTGCCTTCTGACACAGTTCCGGTGATGTCAGGGGGTGTGGCATATGCAAACAATTTATGCTAATGAGTTATGCTAATGAGCTCCTGCACCTCTTTTTCTACGAAATGACCCCTGGTAGTAAGACTTCATTTTGGAAGATCCTTGCCAACATCCTTGGGGGGATTGGTTTGTGTCCATGTGCTCTGTAAGTTTTATGGGATGTAGAAGCGGCAGCTCAGAACAAAGGCCGTGAAGGTCTTCCCTCCACCTCAAATATGGGAACTTCAGGTGGCCCTATAGTAAAAATCTAGCAATTCAGTTAGCAGGAAAATGGGCAGCCCCCTGTTCTTCCACAACCATTGTGAGGCCTGTTCTGTTTTAAGTAAGTAGAATCTAAATTCTATATCAGGGTAGCAGGTTCCAAGAGAACTGCAAAAGATTACCACCATGGGTATGTGTTTGGCTTGTCATAACAAATGTCCTGTTAATTTCAGCAAATGTTGTGCCCCGTCCTGAGCCCTAGAAACACCCACAGCTTAACAGTAATATGTGCTGAAAGTATCTCTTGGGACCAAACGCCTTCGAAAGGCAAGCAGAGCTTTTACTTCTTTGTCAAATATTTAGACAGAAACTTCTATAAACAGGAATTTCTGTATTTTAGGCTTTCTCTAAAAAGATTCCAACCCAGTCCCCCCTTATAAAAGGTGCCAAACAATTTCACAATCAGAACTGCTGCTAACAATTTGAAGTTGCCATATATGGTTGCAATCTCCCAACTTGGTCTAGTCCATCTCAATGAGTGGATATGGGGGGAGGGATGTCGTGTTCACTTTTAAGGTGGTGTGTGAGCTTTCCTGCCCCTGCCCCCTTTGCTTAAGTGCCTGGGAATGTAGAAAACAAAATATAACAACTCATAACTAAAAAATCTGTCTGCTTGTCATGTTGGTTCTGTTTTATTAATGGCAGCAGGTCATTTCCTTGCTTGCTGATGTGCTTTAATGTTAAACTTAAAACAGCCAGAATCTATCAGCTCAACGAACAGTTTCACAACGAGCTGAGCACAGGTCTGTTGGTCTCCAAAGGAGAGGGTGAGAAAACTGGCAGTGCTTGCAGAGAAGTTGTATTTCCCCCCTTTCCAAATTCAGCCTCATAGGATTGCCAACTAGTTCAGAGCTCTTCATGCTTTTAACGGGACCTAACTACATGATACATGGCTTGGGGTCCACCCTTTATCAGCCAGATGTGTGTTGTGTTGAAACTTAGTTTCCAGGTGTGGGGGGCCCCGGTTTGGATTGGGACCTTGGTGCACAGGTTGAGGGGATTAAGACTCCCCCCTCCATTACATGTTCATAACCCAAAACGACCATCAGGGAGCCACTATTGCCCCACTGGAGAAACATACACATAGCCCACATAAGTGTCTCTAGTGGACCAAATAGCAATTCACTGGAGCCATTTCAAATTGGGAAAACAGTGCACAGTGGAAGGGTTAAGCACCTTCTCCCTGCGCACCAGACTCGGCCCCCATGTGCTGGGGAATTAAGTTTCAGCATAGAGTGCCCAGCACACATCTGGTTGACAGGATACAGGATAGACCCATAAATAATACACTGAGTAATTGTTGTTGTTCAGTCGCACAGTCGAGTCCGACTCTTCGTGACCCCATGGACCAGATCACGCCAGGCCTTCCGGTCTTCCGCCGTCCTCTGAAGTTGGCTCAATTTCATGTTCGTTGCATCTATGACACCGTCTAACCATCTCATCCTTTGCCGTCCCCGTCTTCTTTGACCTTCAATCTTTCCCAGCATCAGGGTCTTCTCCAGTGAGTGCTCCCTTCTCATTTGGTGGCCAAAGTATTTGAGCTTCAGTTTCATTATCTGGCCTTCCAGGGAACAGTCAGGGTTGATTTCTTTTAGGATTGACTGATTTGATCTTCTTGCAGTCCAAGGGACTCTCAAGAGTCTTCTCCAGCACCATAGTTCAAAAGAATCTATTCTTCGGCGCTCGGCCTTCCTTATAGTCCAACTCTCGCAGCCATACATGACTACTGGGAATACCATTGCTTTGACCATGCGGACTTTTGTTGGCAGGGTGATGTCTCTACTTTTTATCATGCTGTTTAGGTTCGCCATCGCTTTCCTCCCAAGGAGCAGGCGTCTTTTAATTTCATGGCTGCTGTCACAGTCTGCGGTGATCTGGGATCCCAGGAACGTGAAGTCTGTCACTACTTCCACGACTTCCCCTTCTATTTGCCAAGGAGTGATGGGGCCGGATGCCATGATCTTAGTTTTTTTGATGTTGAGCTTCAAGCCCACTTTTGCGCTCTCCTCTTTTACCCTGAGCAAGAGGCTCTTTA